ACTAAATTTTGTTCTTATTTACTGTTTTTAGTACATACTCTGTATATCTGACTTTACTTTTTATTTTTTTGTCACTAAATCTGCTGTACATATATAACTTGTGTTTATGGCTTATGAGTGAAGAGTTTGAAACAGACTCTGACCACTCCACTGAAGTACCTGAGTTTCTCTTTGATCCTGAACCAGAACGTACACTTCATAGGAGAAGAAGAAACCTCGGGAAGAAATTCCTGAAAACATGGCTGATCATAACAATAATGAAGATATTCCTCCTGAACAAAATTTCAGAACTTTGGCTGCTCTTTTCAGGAACAGACCAGACAAGGGAGTAATCCTTCCTCCTGCAGCACCCAATTTTGAACTGAAACCTATCATGTTTCACATGATTAGGGAAGCAGTGGTTTTCAATGGACTCCCTACGGAAGATCCTTACACACACCTCATCACATTCCAATATATTTGTGATAATTTCAAAGTTGAGGGTGTGACAAAAGGAAGCATGAGAATGAGGTTGTTCCCTCACTCTTTGGGCTTAAAAGCAAAAACATGGATGAAAACTCTCACCCCTGGATCAATCCACACATGGGAAGAGCTCTCTAACAAATTCATAGAGAGGTTTCTCCCCATGTCTCGACAAGCTAATGTTAGAGTAGAAATCTCTAACTTTAGAATGTTTTATGGAGAAAATCTCTATGAAGCATGGGAGAGATACAAGGACATCATAAGAAAATGTCCAAACCATGGGGTAGAGAGTTAGGGAGTGTTACAATCTTTCTATAAGGGACTTGACCATACTTCTCAATCTCATTTAGATTTTGTTGCAGGAGGATATATTTTTACAGGAACACTTGAATCAAGGTATGAAATCAAAGAAGGAACTGCTGAAAGATGTCTCCAATGGCCAATAGACAGAGTGAATCCAGTAAGGAAACCAGGCATGCTAGAACTGGATAAACAAACTGCCATGGAAGCCCAGCTGGCATCACTCATGAATGAAGTGAAGAACCTGAAAGTCAACCAAGCAGCTCCAAGGATGGAGGTCTTGCAACTCACAACAGCTGAAACAAAACCATGCTCAGCCTGTGGTGACCTTCATGACTCAACAGACTACCCATCCACTGCCTTGGTGTGTTATGCAGAAAATTTTGGCAATAAGAACTTCACCAGAGACAATCAACAAGCAGGACACAATACCGATTCTGTTCCTGGAGGAACTATATCCAAAGATCAGAACCATAAACCCCAATGGAGGCCACCCATGAACCAAAGACCATTCAACACTCAACAGCAGTATCAGCAAGGCAGTAGCAGTGGAACGTTTGAACCAAGGAGGAACAATTATGTTCTGTTCCATAGAGATGACCAACGCATCAATAGCCTGGAAAATTATGTCAAGGAATATGTCACAAGGAATGATGCAGTGGTCAGGAACATTGAGTCCCATTTGGGACAGATTGCTGCCAATCTCCAAACAAGAACATTAGGATCACTACCATGGGACACTGAGGTTCCCTCAACCACTTCTGAATCCACTTGAGAGGTAAGTACCTTGTCTAGCTAAGGACATTAAACTAAGCGCTGACTGGGAGGCAACCCAGTGGATACATTTGCTCTCTGACAAAGAGCAAAGTTTTGGGGTGGTTACTCTTAACCACATAGCTCCCAAAAAGGAGGGAACGTCTGATGTTCCACTCCAAAAAAAAAAGTCCAAATAAGGTACGTCCCGTTCTAGGAACATAGTTTTGGGGTGGTCCCTGACCACACAACCCCAATTAAAAAAAAAACCCTCCTAGTTATCTTAGCTTAGTTTATATTCAGTACTGTTTATTTTAATTTCTTTCCATTCCCTTGTAAATATTCTTTTTGCAATGAAAAAGACTTTTTGATCAAACTGTTTGGTACATACATTTCAGTTATAGTATTAAGACTGCCCAATCTTTTTTGATTAACCAACATACATGAAACACAAAGTCACTGACTAATCATGCTTGTTCTTTCTCTGAGTACTTGAAATAGAAAAAGTGCAGGGAATTTAATCCTCAGATTTTTTAAGGAAGCTGATCTGTGTGAACTCAAGCTGGTAAGGAACGGAAAAAAGGCTAAACACCCACTTCTGAGAGCGTTCCTGAGGTGTAACCACAATAAAACTTCTCAACTTGCCTTGATGCTGTCAGTACTGCTGAAGAACAGATGAACTCCACTGCCAAGGATCAAACAGAACCACACACTCACCTCCACTCCATCATACCCCTCCTGGTCAACTAAAAAGGACAAGGAACAGACTCAAAAATGAACTAAAAGGACAGAAGAAAGAAAAGCAAATAAAAAGGGGAACAACCATTCAAAAGAATTCAGAAAATATCAGAAAACCTTCCTCCAAAGGAGGAAAAAGGTACAAGAAAAGGTGTTCCCTCAAAAAGAAAAGGTCCAAGTTCAAAGGCACAAAAGCAAACGTTCCTTGACCTCACAAGTCATACCATCATTCTTCCACATTTCCATACACTCATCCATCAAAGAACCTTGGAAAGGAAGACAGCTGTGCTTCATAGGAAAGCAACAGAAAGGCAAGTTCTGAAGAATCACATCCAGGAATGGACAGAGCAAACACCAACCCTGGAGTGACAGTGAGATAAAAGATTAGCAACCTTCATTTACCTGGGAACAGAATTCTCTTACTGTTTAACTATGGAGAGTAGCTCATTTTTTGAAAAGTTCATGATTACTCACTGGCTCAAGTTCCTTTCTGTTGAGCTATTCTTTGAAATTGGGCAGCCCAATACAATATTTCTGAGTTGATTGAGGACAGCCAACAGTTTAGTTTTGGGGTGTTTGATGGGACGTAAATTCGTTTCCATCTAGGCCCATTTTGATGGCAAAATACCGCACGCTCCCTCATCTGATGCACAACTTTAGCATGAAAATCACTTGTTTTACACATTTGTGACAAAAACACAGTGGGGGAACGTATGGTAACGTATTCCCTTAAAATATATTAAAAGAGGAACGGACTGAGACGCATTTAATGCACCTGCTCCACTCATTTAATGCCTCTGTACACTTTGCAGGTAACGTGGATTTAAAGTCTTCTAAAAGCAGAGGCGGTGCACCAACTGAGCACTAGGAAACGTGAAGAGCAGAGAATCAAGAGTTCTCATTGGCTGAAAAAGAAAGCAAGTCATGGGAAGGACTACAAACAACGGCTAATCATCACCAAATCCTGTTCCATCCAACAATCTGCGCAGTTTCCATACTCTGCTGCCACCATCCCGTCCCCTCATTCAAGTAACCAGCTCACAAGGAATTACAAGATTGACACTCCTCTTCCATCTATAAATAGGATGGCCCACACACAAAAACATCATCGAATCCTAGAGGGTTTGAAGTCCAAAAGGAAGAGATCACCTAGTTGTAGTAGTTAGTAGCTTAGTTTTATTTTAAGTTGTAACTGTAGTCAATTGACAACCCATCTTCTCTTCTCTGTATCAACCCTTAAGACTCCTCATGAGCATCAGACCATCTTTCTCCATTTTTTGTTTCTTTTGTAAATTGTCTTTTGAATTAATATAAGTATTTTTCTCTTCGTTCCATTCGTTATCTCTTAACTGAATCTCGGGTCTATGGGATTTCAGTTTGGAATAATTTTGTTTAAACTATCAGCCATGAGCTGAACTATCTGTGGAACGGATAAACTGTAAAACTCTTAAAGAACTATTTTCGAAATTCTTTACTAAAGCTTTTTGGATTTCTTTGGCTAAGTATGCTATATTCATTGTGTATCAATGGAAATTGAACACATACTGAGAAAGGAACTTCCTTGAGGAAGGAATTTCAGACAGCTTAGCCATTGAGGCAAGGTAGTGTAATGGCAAAAACACTACTGGTCACATTAGGAATAAGGGGCCAACTCGTCCATTTTAAGGTTCTGTACTAAGTACCTGTTGGAGTCAAGGGAGCCATAGGAATATAGAAACTTGTGAGCCATCTAGTCCATGAGCTGAGGAATCAAAGTTGGCAGATAAAAAACTGGGACAAAGCCAAAAAGTGCTAGGTCTTGAGCAGAGAAAACAACTATTTAAGAATGGAGCAGTGAATCTGGTCCTTCTGTTAAACTGTTTTAAAACCACCATCCTGTTGTCTCTTGATTAAAGTTATTTCTGTTTTAGTAGTTTTTACTTTATTTAATATTGTATGTATCAAACTCCAATGATTACTATCTCACCTTCTTTTAAACAGGGAGGATCACATACATAACGTAGCGAGTAATTGTTTGCCATCAGATTGAACCTACTGTTCCTGAGGAACGTTGTCAAGACAGTAGGGAACGTTTGACCAGACAGTTCATTTACTGACTTTTCTTCTCATTTTTATTCTTTATAAAACAGTGTAAGACAATAATTAGGATTCTATCCTCGTGGGAACGATAATCTAGGCATTAATACTCCCTTTATTACTTGAAGCGTGCACTTGCGCACTTGGGTTGGAACTAAGGGAACGAATCTGTGTTCTTTAAGAACAGAGGAACGTCCCCTGGCAGAACTTGTATTTTTCCACCATCAGCAAACCTCCCAACACGCATTGCAGAGGCCGAATGGCATTCTTCTGTAGGCAAAGACTCCAAATGGGCATGTGAAAGTCGTCTTGTCCTGATCCTCCGGTGCCACTGTAATTTGATTGTAGCCGGAATAACCATCCAAGAAGCAATAAAAAGCATGCCCAGCTAACCTTTCCAGCATTTGGTCAATAAAAGGAAGGGAAAAATGATCCTTCCTTGTGGCATCATTCAGTCTTCTGTAATCCACACACATTCTCCAACCAGTAATAGTTCTAGTGGGAATCAACTCATTCTGGTCATTCTTTACAACAGTTACTCCTCCTTTCTTTGGAACTGTCTATACTGGACTTACCCATGCATTGTCAGAAATTGGGTAAATCATTCCAGCATCCATGAGTTTCACTACTTCTTTGCGGACTACTTCTTTCATAGTAGGGTTTAGTCTCCTCTAAGGTTGTCTCACTGGTTTAACATTGTCTTCCATGAGGATCTTGTGAGTACAAAAAGAAGGGTTGATGCCCTTCAAATCAGAAATAGACCACCCGATAGTTGTCTTGTGCTGCTTAAGTACTTCCAACAGCTTTTCCTCTTCATCGGAAGACAATTCCTTATTGGTGATAACAGGATATTGTCCTTCATCTCCCAAGAAATCGTATTTCAGAGTTTCAGGTATCTCTTTCAATTTTACTTTTGGTGCCAATGTAACTGAGTCATCTTCTTTCTTTTCTAGCACCTCAAAGACAACTTCTCGCTCTTCTTGTGGAGTAGCTCCATCTCGAGCCTACAACTCTTCTTCAAGCTCTGGATCATCCATCTTTTCTTCTTTGACTACTTCCTCAAACACATCAAGTCTGAAGCAGTCACTATGGTCAGATGAGTTCTTCATAGCATCAAACACATTGATAGTGATTGTCTCATCATTCATCCTTAACTCGAGCTTTCCTTGTTCTACATCAATCGTAGCTCGAGTTGTGGCCAAGAACGGCCTTCCCAGTAAAAGAGGTATTTCACTCTCTTCCTCCATATCCAACACAATGAAATCAACAGGGAAGATAAACTTGTCAACCTTGACAAGGACATCCTCTATGACTCCATTAGGTCTCCTTAACGAACGGTCAGCAAGTTGTAAAGAGACCATGGTTGGCTTCAACTCAGAAATTCCCAAAGCTTTGCATATTGACAGCGGCATCAAGTTAATGCTTGCTCCAAGATCGCATAATGCCCGGCCTACATTGGTGTTGCCTATCGCAATTGGGATGTTGAAACTTCCCGGATCTCGAAGCTTTGGGGGAAACTTCTTTTGTATAATGGCACTGAACTCTTCAGTAAGTGCTACTGTCTCACAATCCTGCAACTTATGCTTTCTAGACAATAAATCTTTCATGAATTTAGCATAGTTAGGCATATTAGCTAAAGCTTCAGCAAAAGGAATATTAATATGCAACTTTTTAAACATGTCTAAATACCTGGCATACTGTTGCTTCTGTGCCTGTTGCTTGAACTTCATAGGATAAGGAGGTTTCTCAAAACGAGAACAATCCATCAGTTTCTTTGGAGCTTCAATAGGTTTCTCCTTTGCCTCTTCTTTCTCACTTGCAAGCTTTTCCACTTCTTTTTCGTGCTCCGGCTCAATAACTGGTTCATCAACTTTATTTTTCGGAACCACCTTTGGCTTGTCTTGAGGAGTAATCACAATTCCACTCCTAGTTACAATGGATTTGCAGTCTTCCTTAGGATTCACGATGGTATCACTAGGAAACCGCCCTTGAGCTCTTTCAGCTAACTGTCTAGACAACTGACCTATCTGAGTTTCCAGATTCCTGATGGAAGCATCTTGATTCTTGTGATAGGACCTTGTCTCATTCATGAAGGCATCAGTAGTCTGCATGTGATCATTAGTAGTCTTGGTAAGTTGTAGCATTGCTTTCTCCAATTCTGATGGCTCTTTATTTGGAATAGAAGGAGGTTGCAGGTAATTGTTGGATTTATAATCCAAGCCTCCCTCTTGATTTCTCCTTTGAAAGTTGCTTCCTTGGGCACCATTTTGATTCCTCTGGAAGCTTTGGGTATTCTGTGGTGGCCTTGGATCATACCAAACTCCATTAACCTGGAATGGTTCAGCTCCTATGAGTGTTGGAAACTCATTAGTCTCATGCTCCTCCTTGCAGTACTCACAGTTAATTGAATTAACTCGAGCTGTCGAGATTTGCATCTTGTATAGCTTGGCATTCATACTAGCTAACTGTTGAGAAATCACCTTTTGCTCAGCTAGTGAAGTATCATTGTTCCCCAGTTGTAGAAGTCCTTTCTTCGATTGAACTGGTTGAACTTCCATTGAAGCATTCTCATTCCTTGCCATGTAATCAATCGCTCCAGAGTTTCAGCTGCTGTCTTCTTTCCTATGGTTCCACCGGCTGCACCGTTGACAACCATTCTGGAATCTGGTGTCATCCTATTGTAGAAGACTTGGACCTTCTTGGCGTCTGGCAAGTCATATTGAGGGCACTTTCTGATCAACTCCTGGAATCTAGTCCAGGATGCACACAGGGTCTCTCCAGGCTATTGAATAAAGTTGGTGATTTTATTCACCAACTTATTGTACTTCTCCCGAGAAAAGTGCTTAGCAAAGAACATAGTTGTTAACTCGTCCCATGTGCGGATACTGTTAGGAGCTTGTCGATCTAACCATCTGAGGGTCTTCCCGGTCAAAGCAAAAGGAAACAGCCGAAGTCTGATTGCATCATCAGACACTCCATGATGCTTAGTTGTGTCACAGATTCTCAGAAATCAGAAATCTGTCCATAAAGTCGTGAGGATCTTCGTAGTCCTCTCCACCAAAAGAAGTCTTCTCCACCAAGATAATCAGCGACGGATGGATGTCATAGTTGTTGGCATCTATCTGTGGCCTGACTATGCTAGAGTTCGGCCTCGTGAACATAGGAGAAAGAACTGACTCCGTCAATTCTCCTGCAAGAGGTGGATTAGGGGTTGCCATCACAGATTCTGTGTGTGGCTTAGAACTCGAAGACTCTTCCTGCTTTCTTTGCTTGGCTTGCTTTCGGTTCTTCTTTGCAGTTTTCTCTATTTCTGGAACAAACTGTAAAATGTCTCAATTTACTTTACCTCGCATAAACTAAAGCAAAAAGATTAGTAACAAAACAAAATCCAATCAAGAAAATCAAAAGTTATAAATAAAATTGGCGTATTCAATCCTCGGCAACGACACCAAAAACTTGTTGCGAAAAATCGGCAAGTGTACCGATCGTTCCAAGTAATAAAAGGGTAAGTAGAGTATCATCTCCACGAGGATTGAGGCACCGAAATTATTTAAACTATTCCTCTCTTGTTGGATTAATAAAATTGGTTTGAGAATAATTATGGTTGTAAAAATTGAGAACAATTCAAAAACTTGTGAATAATTCAATGATGCTTTTAAAACTTTGAGAATAACAGATTAAGATTGAGGAAATATTTAAGAGAATATTGTGGTAAAAGACGTCAACACCTTTATGATCCCCACCTTGCACTATGAATTAAGTTGTACATTTAATTTAACCATTGATCAAACAATTCACCATCTATTAATTGATTAGTTAAGCCCTAATTCCTTAGTGATCTTAACTTTATTAACCTATTAGAATCCTAATTCCTTAGAAATTCCTTTTCAAGTTAAGCCTTTAAATCAGTGAATTTTTCACATTAGCAAATCATGCAGCCTATCCCTAGTGCGTATATAAATTGTTATTTTTACCCTTTTCCAGGAACTAGAATCTCAATATTCCTATTGAAAACCCTAACCCTCGCAATCCTAATAGAGTGATCGGTTCTAAAAGAATCATAACATGAAGAAAAGGATAAAATAAATACAATTGGAATAAATAAATATAAAAATTAACCAAACCACAAGGGGTTCACATTAAGGGTTGTGACCCTTACCACAATAATAAAAGACTAGCCAGACATATTCATGTCTGACAATTCAATGTCTACAAAAGAATTCATAAAAGAAAATAATAACCAGAAAATTTGGAGAAGAAGCTTGCTCCGCGTTCTGCCTTCGTCAATTTCAGTTGGTTCCCCAAGATTTCTTCTCTCAGGGTTTCTGACTCCTTTTTATATCCAATGACTCAATCAGGTCCCCAAGATTTGATTTTTGTTTCTGTTTTTATCCAAATCTGTAATCCAGAAAACTGACAGTGCGATTAGCGCCAGATCCACGCTAATCGCGCGGTGAACCAGTAGAGAAGCCTTATGCTTGGCGCGAATAGCGAGAATCTCATGCTATCAGCGTGAAGTTGCGTTGTGTTGGTTCCCTTTTCTCGGTCTGGTGCCATCCTTTTGTACTGCGCGAGTCAGTTGTTTGCAACATAGCTTATTTTCGTGCTTTCCTCCTATAAAAACATAAAACAAGAGTGAAAGTGTGCTTGAAGGTAGATTATCAATAATTCACTAAAGTCATGCTTTTTATCACTAAATTACTGTCAAATCTTCATTCTTTTAACTCTAAAATACCTATATGTTGAAGGCACATCAGTCACCGTAGCCATATGCGGAGGATAATCATCCCTCCTATGCTGAGCTCTCTCAACCCTTATCTCAGTCATGAAGGCCTGCAGCATATCCTGATTATTCTTCATCAGGTTTTCAGTTATGGTTCTATTAGGAGTCGTCTCTTCCTGCAGAGCATACAGAACTGCAATAACCGGATCAGGCGGTTGAGGATCTGCACCTCGTGTCCCATGGCGACCACAAGCCCTCCTCATGATAACTGTACATGTAACACAAAGGAATGAACTGATCAGACCAACACTAATACCATAAAATTTAACAGCATGTTACGTACTATTAATGTTATCATTGCATATGATATTAAACGCAGTTACAATCACAGTAATTGAGTTAATTAAATTACGGGTAAACTTTTTCTTTTATTACATCATTATTTTTAAATTTTAACCATTTCCGTAGTCAATTAAAAACAACACTATAATTGTAAATGCAAAACTCACGGAAGCATAAAACTTAGAGTAAATACCTTTTTCGGTCCTCAGCAAATTTTATGATGCCCGCTTTAGTCCGTAGCAAATAAAAAGGCTATTTGTGGTCCCTAAAAAATTCAAAGTGGACCCATTTTAGTTCTTTTGAGGGACTAATGTGGGTCTTTTTTGAATTTGTGAGGGACCACAATTTCAACTAAATGGATCCATTTTGAATTTTTTAGGGACCACAAATGCCTTTTTATTTGCTAGGGACTAAAACGAGCATCATGAAATTTGCTGAGGACCAAAAATGGTATTTACTCTAAAACTTATTCATTACAACCCCTCCAAGCAATACCATTAACTCAGGTTGTAAAAACACTAAATTTCAAAAATTACACAGTGGTAATCGATTACCCTTCTCGAGGTAATCGATTACCAGAAGTTCCAGAATGAGACAGTAGCTAATTTTGGGCTCCCTTATTTTGGGTAATCGATTACCTATTAGGTAATCGATTATCTATGTCAATGTAATCGATTACCTATGTCAAGGTAATCGATTACTTTGAACACAGTGGCTCAAATTTTACGTCCCCTGTTTCAGGTAATCGATTACCACACTGAAGGTAATCGATTACCCTACTGCAAAATTCACAGATGACAACTTTTTCATTTCAAAATGGACCAAGTCTTTCACTCGTAACACTTTAATACTTAACATACAACTTACACAAGTACTAATGTATGCTCTAGGCCCTTCCATCCTGCATAATCTAATACCAATGCATCATTTACAACATTCACCATTTGTTTTTCCATTTACACATCATATGGCTCATTTACAACACTAAGTCTCCAAATGCCTCAAAACATAATATGTGGCCATGGACAAGTCTCATGCTCACCAAAAAGGTCAATATAAATAGGCATAAATATACATCAACTACATAGACTTAGAATCTAGTCATGAACACCACAAAAGCATAGAAATCTCAACATGCAATATGTTCATGATCTAAGTCCAAAATACTAAATGTAATGCTATGTACATCAAATGAAATCCTCCAAAATGCTATGCTCTCCATATGCACATCGTGATCAACTCCTCCACTAAGCGGGCCTTTTGCCCGAAGATCGTCCATGCTCAACATAACCTGAAATGATGTCCCCAAACGCGGGGTGAGATATACAAATATATCTCAGTAAACCAAGGGTACTAGAGGATCACTCCACCCCATGGCTCACTCAATGTGCATACAATGATCATCATATAAAATGCATAACATACAAAATCGCAACACACTGGGCTCACGTCCACACAAGGATTTCGTTCAAGGACCCCATCATATAACTCCCGGGAAGCTTCCAGGTGCCTCTCCATGGATGAGACGATCTCATGGCAAAATATCACTGGAACTCCTCAATAGATCTATCCAGCGGAAGTCCCACGTTTGGATCATCTTGGTACCGCTCCCAGAGTCGGCCACAAGGCAAAACTCAACCGGAATCCCCCAGAGGGATATCTCCAGTGAAAGTTCAAACCACACACATCTACTGGCCAGAGATCATAGATATGTCTCACAACATGCTCCAAGCATGTCACACAATCACAACAATAATGCATGAACATATATTTCATACAAGTCAAAGAGCACACAATCCAACCACTACCTTCCACCAGGTGTGGCAGAACACACGAGGGATAAAACCCAAGTACCAAGAGTATACCTCAACTTCGTAAGCAATGCCCTTCCACGTAAGCTCCAAGCTTATTCCACTTCTATTGGTTCCGTGAGTGGTAACATATATTCATCAATTACCAATAACATCAACACTTGCATACAATCAATTAAATTCACAACAATAGTACTTACACATAACCACCTAGGCTTGATGGCCATTTTATATTTAATTCAACTACCTCAACCTTTTTAGTCATTAAACTAACTCACCCTTTATGCACCAAGGTATTAACCATTGATTACACAAAATTCATCACCTCATTTTTCCTTAAATCCACCTATAGGTCGAATTCTACATGGAATCATGTTTCAAGGTTTTCAATCCAATTCAACACCTATACGCATAATATAATCCTATGATTAATTCATACCAATGCTCCACAACCCAATCACACCATCATCCAACACATCAATTTTACAAAGTATTGAATTTCAACTCAAATTTCCTAAGTTACAAATTTACCAATCACCATAATTTTTATTGCATCAATCATCATCATTTATCATTCTAAGCATTTAATTCCAGAGGAGACATACCATTTAATGCTCCTAACTACCACAACTCAACACACATAATCAAAAACCCTCGTCCATTTTATGATTTCCATTAAAAATCAAAGAGAGTGTGAAAACTTACCACCAATAGCTTCCTAGGGTCCAAGGGAATGATCTCCAACCAATGGACCAAGCCAAGAAAACACCAAAAACCCTCCAAAATACCAAATTTTTGTGGCTGATTTTGGGGTATATCTCCTCACACAATGATCCCCACAAGGTGCACTTTACATGAAAGTCACTCATAAGATCAAAGGAACAACTTTGTAGTTGGGAGTTTTTCCTAAAAATGGCTAGAAATCAAGGTTGAAATTGAAAAGCTCAAAGACCCTAACCAATGGAGATGGCTCACGGGTGGAAGAAGAAGAGATGAGAGAGAAAAATCAGATTTGAGTGTCTTGAGTCACTTAGACCACTTAAATCACTTAAAGTGGGTCCCACGTGTCATTTAACTTTATTAAATCACCCAATTTAACCCATAAATTTATAACCTACGTATTTTTCTCGTTCACGTCATATTTTTACTTCCTAGAAATGCTAATCATATTTTCGCACTTATCGATACAATTAAACCGCAGTATTTTACACTGGAAAAATCACTATTCATCAAATTTTTCGAAACTTGCCTATCCACTCGATTTTTCGTCCTGAATCCCTTTCCGGCATTATTTTTACCATTTGAGATCTTTTACTCAATTTTTCTTCCTTAGAGTTAAGTGTTTGGTAAATTACCATTTTGCCCTTTTTACGTATTTTGGCCCTAATTTCAGGATTTTCACTAATCCTACCCCTTAATCCGTATTTTCGCACATAATTATACAATTAGAAATACGAGATGTTATGCAAACTCTTTTGCATTTTCATGAATTTCCTTGATTTAGGTTATTTTGATGGGGTTTTTTATGATTGGATGGTTAGTTGTGAAAATGAATATAAATGTCCTCACAAAATATGTTAGGGAAGTGTTCTTGGCATAGAAAAAACATAAAAACCATTACTTTAATCAAGTTGAAATTTTAGTCATGAATAAAGTTTTGGATCCTTATTATTTAAGGCCTTAAAATCGAGTTTTTGATGGTAGTTGTATGCATGGTTGCTATTGTAGTTTTGGACCAAATGACATGTTATTGGAAGATCAAGCATTGGACTGTTCCATTGAGTAGACTTGGATTCTTCAAAATTCCAAGTATAGGGTGATATTGGTTGAGGGGTTGTTGATTGATTGCATAGGCAAGGAAAGTGCTATAGCACCTAGCTTCAAGGGAGGGTGGTTCTTTCATATGATATGTGGATATTAATTGTTATATGTTGCATGTATATGTATGTATGTTTGTGTGCCACACAAGACGGTGTTTTCTTGTGTGAGACATAAGACGGTGTTTCCTCATATGGTATGTTGCAAGATGGTGTTTCTTTGTGTAATGCATACTTGTTATATTCTCTGGCTAGTAGGATTCATTATTGCACACATGCATTGATATACATATTCTGATGTATATATATTATTGTATACTATAGTTATACCTGAAGTGAACTTAGGGGTGGAGGAACCCTCCAAAGACCCCTAGTTTATTGAGATGGTTGATCTTACCCCGTGTGAGGACTTACATTTCTGGTACAGAGCTCGATGGTGTTGAGGTATCGCATTGCAGGAGGCCAGGATAGAGATAGTGCATGTAGCAAGAGACATTATTGCTATTATGCCTTGATGACATGATATATGATTTAGACTATCTTCTAATATGTGTATGACTGTTATTTTGATGCATATGACCCGATGATATGTTATGAAGAGTATAGGAAATGTCTATGCCATTTTGGATAGTCTATATGCAATGTTAGTGAAATATATATATAAGCTATGTTATTTGTTTATTTGCATCTCTTTTGATTAATTGATGCAATTAAATAAATAACTATGTTGGTATCATTTTGAGAAATGATACGTATTTGATAGCCTAAGCAATAGATTGCTAGGCAATAAGATTTATGTATGTGTGTGACTTGTATAAAATATAATCAAATGTCAATTAGGTAACCTTTTCTCTGTGGAAATAATCCCTATAGCCTCCAAATACAAAGGAGACGTCGTCTGTTTATTTTAAAAAGATGGGAGGCATAAGAAAGTATGAAGTAGTTTTAATTGAATAAGAAATGATTAGCGAATTGAAATAAAATTGAAAGAGATAAAGTTTGTTCACGATTTAATTAAGGCTATTAGTGAACTATAAAGTAAGCTTCCACATTTAACTTAATTAAACAATGTTGCGCTTAATACCATATGTGATGATAACAAACCGGTCCGGAACGGGGTGTTACAATAGTCCAATAAGGGGCAATCCAAATAAAATCTGACATAATCAAATGAGGATATTTAACAAAGATATCAATCCTAATACGACAATATTAAACATGGGTTTGGGCTGCTAGAAGAGACATAGAAGGTCAAGCATCCCAATACCCACAAGTAAATACTATAAATAAGAGGTAAAGCTTACATGTATGATTATTCTCTCTCTATTATTGTTATGTTGTCACTGTGTATACACACCGATCTATTATTGCTTGTACACAATGATCTATTATTATTTTTTTGACAATTTTGTTTCATGTCCAAAATGCCTCATTCACTAACTTGGTTCCCCTAAGTTGCCATCGTATTGCAGAACAAAGAAAATGCAATAATAGCTATATGTTCGTTTCGTTTATACAAAATGTGACTTTAAATTAGGCAAATGCAACGACTTGGAGCTAAAGGCACAAAGGAATAACGTTTAACTGTCTTAATGATTGAGAATCAAGCATGGACAAAGTTAGAAGTCCAAAGAAACCTACAAAGACTTCACTTTATCTCTACTAATGAACGCCAACTATTAATATACAACTACTAATGAGAGTTGTCTTTGATTTTGATTTCACTATTAATGAGAGCTGCCAGAAAAACATGATTTTCTTCATTGTCTGTAATGAAGTTCCTCAAGTTCATCTACGTGCTAAACCACAGAATGTTTTATCTACATACTATAAGATGGTTATTCTATGAATGAATCTTAGTCTTGTGGGGTCAATGACAAGTGACATCTGTAAATACCACCAAAGGTACACATTTAATATAGGGACTTCAGTTTTGATGTCAAATAATCATAGATTTGGTACATGATCTCCACCTAAGACCATATATTCAAACTTACAATGGGTCAGAATTAAAAATAGAAGAAATTGTTGTTCATGTAATTGTGGAATAATAGTTTAATCATGTTTGGGATGACTCCGTTAATTGAATGTTAAGGTGAATCGACTGTCATATAATGCATTTAAAATGGAAATACAGAGCAAATGGTAGCTGATACATAATAAATGTATTCCTTGCCTACATTCATGCTAGTTTTCTAAAATCTGATTTGGTATAAAACCATTTTCAGTTTTATTTCATTAAATCTATTGTAGCGAAACAACATGTATTTAAGACAGGATACAAATGGTTAGATTCAGAGTGTGTTAGAACTAAAAGAAATATAAAAATAAAATTCAATAAATAACTTAATGAACAATGGTAACAAGAACGATTTCAAAGGAAGAACTTGAACCTAAAGACTACCACGACAAAAAGTCAGTTTTTCATATTACATAGAAAATGGAAACAAGAATGCTTCCTTGTCTTGTTCCAGAAAAAGTACTACATATACTCCCCAAAAGCCACCCGTGAATCCAACTCCCACACCCATGTAGAACTTTTTAAATACATTGTTATCACAAAATCTTGTCCTTGCAATTAAGAAATCTCCACTTTCTGATGTTCCACCAAAATATTTAGAAGACAAAAATTCAATATGATGATATTATATTGGGAGAATTACAGAGACAATAATACTAATTAGATATATTTCTACGGTCTCAAACTAATTGGTTGCACTCACTATTACATTCATAATTTTATTTCCCACAACATATAAAATAGTAATACTACATTACAAAATTACAATCTACAAAAAGATTGCACTTTGTACCACATGTCATCAAGAAAACGAAAATAGGCATACCTCCATGATCTATAAATAAACAATGGAGCGACCACGGCCCAGAATCCCACAATAAATCCAAAAGTCATACTCACAAAAAAACCATTCACTTTATGGCCATCACCCTTTTTGCCATTGTGATCATCATCAGGAGTTTGCCGATTGGAACTACAGTTGACGGGCAGTGGCGGACCACACAAATTGTTGCCAACGAAGTTGGTTGCTTCAAAGCTTTGCAATTGAGTGCCGGTTGGAATTTTCCCCATCAAATGATTATAAGACAAGTCAAGCTTGCTAAGAAAGCTCAAGTTGGATATGGTTGAAGGGATTTCTCCTGAAAGTGGATTTCTTGAGAAATCAATGGATTCTGATGATCTCATATTGCCAATGCTTGACGGAATTTGGCCAGTCAAGTGATTCTTGGACAAGTTCAAATAAATCAATCCATCTAAATTTGTAATTTCTCTGGGTATCTCTCCAGATAAATTATTATCAGAAAGATCAACATTTGTCACCATTCCAAGAAGATTTCTGTACTCTATACCTCTTCCTTTCACCCATAGGAGTGTACTAACTATACCCTGCGAACGATAGCTAGATGCATTGGTATAGATGAATGAATTCATACTCCTATTCTTTAGAAACATGGCATCTAAGCGGTTGAAACATTTTGGTATATTTCCAGACAAATTGTTCTGTGCAAGGTCCAAATCCCTAAGAAAAATCATATCACATATTTGATCAGGAATATGACCCAAGAATTTGTTTGACCGAAGGCGAAGAATTTGTAAATTTAAGAGCCTTTGTCCAATCCATTCGGGAATAATTCCTGTAAATTTATTTTCCCCAAGATCCAAGGAAATCAACTTACCAGTGCTCTCCAAAATGGGAGGAAATATTCCAGATAGCATGTTGTTACGGATGTTTAAAGAATCTAGCTCAGCTAAGGAACCCATGGATTGGGGTAAGTTCCCAACAAAATGGTTGCTCTGTAAATTCACGTCCACCAGATTTGGCCACAGCATCCAACAATCAGGTATTTCCCCTGACAAATTATTTGCTGCAAGATTGAGAAATTGTAATTTCATTGGCTGGTCTTGTTTTCTACAAAGGAAGTCAGTCATGGATCCAGAGAATGAATTTCTTGAAAGATCTAACCAACTCACATTAACATATAGATGAGGTAATTTTCCATGTAAGTTATTTGAACTTAGATCAAAGGTATCGATAGATATCGGATACTTTAATATATTAGCAAGCTCACCGTGGATATGGTTATGAGAGAGGTTTACATAGGAAGCATTAGAAATTGTTTCCCAAAACCATGTGGGAATAGAATTTGGAATCCCTGTGTCAGATATTTCCAAAAAATAAAGATCCTTTTGTGACTGAATCCATGAGGGAAAGGTGGGACCTAACTGCCACGAGTTCATTCCCAATGCACTAAGCTGAAAAGTAGGATGCCAACTGGGACCCACTTTTAAAGTGAAATTGTTCCCTGATGCAGAAAACCTTTTTAAACTCGTAAGATTTGCAAGGTCATCTTCCTTCACAACTCCTTGAAAAAGATTGTCATCAATATTAAGATATGACAATTTAGATAAGGATTTAAGAACTTCAAATGGATTTCCATCGAATTTATTTTTTGACAGATGAAGATGTCTTAATGATGAGAGTTTTCCAAATGATGCAGGAAGTGCACCATGAATTGAGTTGCTGGAAAAGACCATTGTGAAAATATTTTGAAAAACTCCAACTTGATCTGTCAGATTGCCTGAAAGTTGAGAATCAGACAAATAGAGTCTCGCGAGTCCATGGGAAACACAAGGAGCGAGAATATCTAAAATTTCATGAACCTGTTGGTTGAGTTTGAGATATGAGAAATGTATCTCCCTTAAGTTGCAAAGACTACCCAAAGAAGATGGAATTTTTCCTTCAAGTTGATTTACTGAAAAATCAAGTACAACAAGCGAAGTCAAATTTCCCAGGTCATCAAAAATAGTCCCGCTCAAGTCATTCGATCCTAGGTTCAAGAACTTGAGATGATGAAGACCGTATAACCAATCAGGTATAGAAGAGGACAATGAATTGTAAGACAAATCGAGATTTTGAACAAGTGTGAGGTTTTGAATACCATCAGGAATAGGACCTTGGATGTTATTTTCTCTCAATTGAAGAGAAACAAGTTTCCTCAGTCCAAATATCCACTTTGGGACAAGAGAAATCCCATCAGTATAATTTGTATCTGAAAGATCAAGAGTGATGAGAGATGAGAAGTTTACTGTTGATGGTTGATTATGATGATTGAGCGTACATCCTGGCAAGCGTAACTCCTTCAAAGAAGGAAGAGCTTGCATAGTCTGTAACCAATCAAATGACTTTGATAGATCTGCAGAACTCAAATCAAGATATTGAAGGTACGAAAGACCTGAAAGCCAATCAAGATTTTCAACAAACAGAGGTTCAGAGTAATGACTCCGAAGGTCAAGATAGAGCAAATTCGTGAGGTTCCCAATTTGATATGGAATTTCTCCATATGCAGCAGCATAGCTGAGGTCAAGATACAGCAAATTCGAGAGATTCCCAATTTCATGAGGAATGTTCCCAATGAATCCAGCATCTGAGAGGTTAAGGTAAGTTAAAGTTGTGATTGCACAAAGGAAACTAGGAATTTGCATACCTCCAAAATCATTGCGGCTCAAGTCCAAGTAACTCAAATGCTTCAAATCAACCAAAGAATGATTTATCTCACCACCAAACAAGGACCTGTCATCAGCTACAATATATTTCTCAAAGTAAAAACCATCAACGGGAGGATTCCAAGAAGTGTTGAGGTGAAGCTGAAGAATGTGGGCAGTTACGTTATTGCAAACAACTCCTTCCCAATGGCAACAATTGGGATTGGAAGCATTCCAAGAAGAGAGTCTATTTGAAGGATCTTTGAGATGATGTTTGAACCTCAGAAGTGCATCACGTTCACTTGGAATGCAGAGAATCTCAGAAGAGTCTATGCAAATGCCAAAATGAAACGTTAATAAGGTAAGGCAACAAAAGTAAAGGAAGAGAACGGTAAAGATGGAACGGTCCATTATCACAACAAAACAAGTTGTATTAGTTTGTGTTGATGATTCCATTGATAAATCTGCTTTCTATTATTTATAGTGGTGCCGTGTTAGTTTTTACTATTTACTTAATTAATATACAATTTGACTTGAATTCTTAGATTACGAGAATTTTTATATCTATGAAAATTTTTAACATTGGTATGTTTAATTAACAAAAATTTGTCATATGAAATTTAGTATCACAATTTGTATCTTTTCACAAGTTATCAATTTAAATAGGTAAGTCCAACTTCATTTTAAGAATAAAATTAGAAACATCATGAAATAGTCACATTTAAATTACACGCACTAATGTACTTAAAAAAAAATACTAAAGTACAAAATCTGCAAAGAAATATGATACTTTTTTAAATAGTTATATATATTTATTTTAAAAAAAAATTATTCTCAATGCAGTTTTATTATATAGTATTTGGAAAAATAATCTTATTATTTTTTTATCGTAATACAGTTTATTTCTTTAATTTCTTCATTAATGTAATAAGTTAATTTAATTAAAATTCAACAGAATATTGATTATTTAATTTCACCTTTACTTATTTTCTTTTAAATATTAGCATGCGTTTCATGATAGTATCAATTGTTTCTCAATTTTTTTGAGTAAATATAACTATATAAATAATTGTTAATAGGTAGCAATATTTATTGCATTTCAAGATACTTTTAGATAAAAATATTGATATTCTCGTGTTATAGGTATACAATATTTAGAATTGGATTGTGCTAATTAATATCACATAAAGCTCATTAAATGATGTGACAAATTGACAATAACATCATTCGCAAGTGTAAGGTGCATTGAAATTAAAGTAAAAGTTATGTTTTATATGATTTAATGTAAATTGAAATAAAAATTATCGTATAATTAAATATAATTTTTTTACAATAATAGTTCATCAAAATTAAATTATCAGATAACATTTAAGTTTAAACTTATTGAACCACGGTAAAACTTACATTTTTTTAAAGAAACAAACTAAAAGAAAATTCTTTATATTTTGTAGTATTTCTCTACAATAAAAATACAATCTGTATATTTCTTTTAAGTTATCTTAAAAATAAGATAATTTCAGAAATAATGTGTAAGAAATAATATACATCCTATATCAGTATAACCAATCCGAAACTAATTTTATCAAAGTTGTTTTCATTCATTTAAACCCTCCAACGAAATTCACACTTTTTTCAAAGTCTTCCACTTTTTGTTAGTCTTCCACAATATTTGATTTTTGCACTATGATGTTGATTTTGACGGAGAGTTATTGTCATATTTGGTTGTCCTCACATTCACAATTTGAAGACCACTATTGAATTAGTGGCTTTTTGAAGTTTGAATCCGACAGAGAAAAAGATTGGTAAAAGAACCTTTCTTCGAGGAAGGCTCCTCCTAACAACCAACTTGATTCAAAACGATAGTATGCTATTCATTCATTTGGCATATTCGTTTATACAGAGTTTTCCCAAGCAAAACAGAAAATACAAAAACGAAAAAGTGCTAACAGCACTCAACAACAGCAACACTTTTATTCAAAATTAATTGGAATTTATGGTAGATAAATCTAAATGAAAGGTATGAAGGGATAAAATAAAAATAAATAATATATATATATAAAAATATAAAAGTAAAAATAAAAGAGAGGAAGAAGAAGATGGGGAAGGGAAAAAGAGACAAAGGAAAAGAAGGAAAAAATAGGAAGAGGGGCATATAAAGAGGAAAAGGAGTAAAAAGGGACCTTCTGGGATATAGGAATAACAATGGGTTTAACCCTCTACCATGCTAATAGCTTTCTCCATTCCGTCGCTCACACCGTCCGTCAATCTATATCTCACTCCATTAAGTCTTGTTTTCCTATCTTCCCTAAGTAAGTTTCAGTCCACCTCTATTTCTTTGTGTCGAGCTCTTGTTAACAAACTTTTATTCTTACGGGAATATCCAGGGGCCTTCTCATTACGTGCCCAAACCACCTCAATTTATGTTCTCTCATCTTTTCAGCCACCGGTAGTACTCATACCTTACGTCGAATATCTTCATTTCTTATCTTATATGTCCTCGTATAACCACACATCCACCTTAACATCCTATTCTATGTCACTCCTATTTTATATTTATGTTGCATATGTGTTGGCCAACATTCAGCTCCATATAACATCGCAGGTCTTATTGCTATTCTATATAATTTTCCTTTAGCTTAGGGGGAATTTTGTGATCACACAAAAACCCAGAAGCACTATGTCATTTCATCCACCCTGCTTTGATTCTATAACTTACATCCTCATCAATTTCTCTGCCTTTTTGCAAAATGAATCCCAGGTATCTAAAAGCCTCTTTCTTAGGTACCTCTTGACAAATTAGATGCACAGGATCTTGGTCTACATCTCTTACTAGAGAAAACTCACACTTCATATACTCAGTCTTGCTTCGACTTAACGTGAATCCTTTAGACTCCAACGTGCTTCTCCACAATTCAATTTTTCTATTAACACTGTTTTTGGTCTCATCAATAAGCACAATATCATCTGCAAAAAGCATACACCATGCCATTTCCTCTTGGATATCTTTTGTTAGTTCATCCATAACTAAGGCAAAAAGATAAGGACTTAGAGCCGAATCTTGGTGTATACCTACCGTGATAAGAAAATAACTTGATGTTCCATTACAAGCTTTCACACATGTAGTAGCCCCATCATACATATCCATGATTTCCTTTGCACACTTTGATGGTACTTTTTTCTTCTCAAAAACCCACCTTAAAACTTTTCTTGGGACCCTGTCGTATACTTTCACATTATCTATGAACACCATATGTAAGTCCTTCTTCTTTTCTCGATATTTTTCCACTAATTATCGCATCAAGAAAATGGCTTTTATGGTACATCTTCCTGTCATAAACCCAAATTGATTTACAGAAACCTCGGTCTCTCTCCTCAAGCGATGTTCAATAACTCTCTCCCACAACTCCGTAGTATGGCTCATTATCTTAATGCCTCTATAGTTAGAACAATTTTGAATATCTCCCTTATTTTTGTAAATAGGCACAAGCATATTTTTCCTCCATGCATCAGGCATTTTATTTGTCTAAAGAATCTTATTGAAAAGATAGGTCAACCATTTTATTGTCATATCCCCCAGGCCATTCCACACCTTAATAGGGACACCATCGGGTCCCAAGGCTTTATTAGTTTTCATCCTCTAACATCACTACGAGGAAAAATGTGCTAACAGCATTATAAGGCAATCTAACAGAATCAACAAAAATAATAGCTCAGCTATCTATACCATTCTGTTCTCCACCCTACAATATTCAAGCGCTTAAGGCTTCATCACATAATCCTGCATCCACTCGGGCTTCATCTTATTGCATTTAGTCTATCGTGACTTGGGGCTGGGTTGGTAATTAGCATATTCATCTGGACAGTTATTAACTGCTTTGTGCTCTGCATCTCCCTATACATTCTACTCATCAAGTTGGGCTTGTGCACTCACTTGTGCCTGTTCAGTTACTTTACTCATATCATAATCACATACTATAAACTATTCAAATTAAGGAAAAAAAAACCAATTGAGTGACCAAATTGTGTAGCACCCTATGCCTATAAATAGGGTGCTTGCCAATAATTTCATTCATTTCAAATTTCCACAACTTACATAGAGAAAACCCAAGTATCTCTTGAGTGTTATTGCTATCTCCTTGTGTCTAGAGAGAGGTTATACTTTTCTCCATTTAGTGAAAATCTTCTTTAATCTTACATGTGGTCAGTGTTTTAAAACTTTGCCTTGTCGCGAGGTCGACCCCGCCGGGTCACTGACCCCTTCTCTCTTAGGGTTGGGGTCAGCAATTAGACCTTGCATGCATGTTGATCCATCTGACTCTCGAAATCGAGCTGGGTCTCGGTGACTCCCAAGTCAGAGAGGTCACTGTATTTTTTTTAAAACAAAATTGCACATAAAACAACGTTGTTTGATATGTAAAAAAAAAAAAATAACAACTTACCGCTGCCTATATCTAGAACTATATCTGAAATCTGAATCGTTCTTCTTCTTCACTTTATATTATTTACTAACTTACATATAATTTGTTATTGTAGATGAATTGAATTTAGATGAGGATGATGTAGATGATGAACCTCATATGGCCATTGTACCCCAAAATGAAAGCAAAGTTCCTCAAGGTTTGGACGGTAATGGTGGGGAAGGACAAAGAGGGCTTGAGTTTGATGATATAATTTTTCTTTAACTCCATTGGAATATGTGTTTTATACTTTGATTAGCTTGTGTAATATTGACTTGTTAATTTAATTAGTTGAATTATGTTAAGTATATTTTGAATCTTTGATGGTTTGTGGTTTGGATTTTTTGAATTTTTCATATAGGATATATATTTATATTTTTTTAATAATAAAATCGGGTTAGCGAAGTAATCTCATGACCCGTTGAACCCGTGACCCCTGACCTCAACCGAGTCGATGGCCGAGCTGAGTTTTTAAACAGTGGCTGTGGTTTTGTCCAATTGGATTTTTCATGTAAATCTTGTATGTCACTTCAATTAGTGTATTTGTTGATCTATTGACTCATGAAATTAAGATAAATTTAATTACACGTTGGGTTCTAGGAAAATGAATGGTTATTTAATTAGTTACAGTTGTGTAGCATAGAGACACTCCGACTAATTTTACACTTACCTGGCTAATTGGTGTAGTCAACAGTGTCTTGAAATTTTGATTTCTCTTAACTCTATTTTAGTTGTATGATACTCTGTTACCTAACAGATATAACATTAATCTAAAGGTAATTGTCAAAACAAAAACAAAAAACTAGAGTAAAGCCTCTTTTGGGTCCTTAACAAAAAATATGGTTCCCATTTTAGTCCCTTACAAAAAAAAATAGTCTCGAGGTCCCTAAGAAATTCAAAGTGGACCTATTTAGTTAAAATCGTGGTCCTTAATAAATTCAAAAAAGACCCATATCAACCTCTCAAAAGGA